AAACTTTTCTAGCTCAAACTCAATACATCCAAATCAAAGGCATCTTTTCATTTATGGGACAGTTTATTCACTGAAAATACACCGAGGACAACAATCCTAAAATAATATTGAAAAATTGAAAGAAAGAAAAATAAGGGAAAGCAATGAACAATTTACATGATAATCAGTTTCCACTTGCAATGGGATCTTTTTCGCTGACGTAAAAAGATAAAAACTTCTGATCACTGAATATCTTTAAAAGGACATAAAGAGGCAGAATGGGAAGACTCTTCACCATCAGAAGTTATAAAATGAAATCTTCTCCTCTCAGAGAGTAAAAGATGTACAGCTAGAACTGAAGATCTGTCTAAGTCAAGTACTGGCAATATACTGGCTATATGGGGATCTTAATGGTTCCTCCAATACTGATGCCCTAAATCCCGGATGATAGACACTGTTAATGATAATCATATACTATAAGCATTATCCTCCCCAAGAGAAAATGGGTAATAAAAAAGAAGACAAAAGAAAATATAGACTTGTATACTATTGTGACATATTAATTTATACAGAGATAGAAAGTATCCTTGCAGTTCAAGCTGAAATACAGACATTACAGGGTATCAGGAAGATTGTGCCCTAGAACAGCACACCTGCCAATGATAAATCTTGCCCCATAATGGGCAGTCATGACCCTGGCAGTCCCGAGGACCCTCCTGGCAAAGTAGCATTGGGCCAAGAGAATCAAGAAGGAGAGTGAGTAAGAATAACAGCTCAGAAACTCCTCTCTATACAGAAACAAAATTTATATCTATACATCTATTAAATATCTTCAACCTGTGTGTTAATCCTTGCTCTTGGGAACATGTTTAATTCAAGGTAGTTGCAATGAAAGTTTTGTTGTCCATCCAATTAGGATGACAAATATAATCAACCCAAGGTTAGGGAAATGTATAGGACAGTGGTTCTCAACCTTTTTAATGCTGCGACCCCCAACCGGTCATAAGTCGAGGACTAAACCGGTCGTAAGTCGAGGACTAAACCGGTCGTAAGTCGAGGACTACCCAACCGGTCGTAAGTCGAGGACTTTCCCTGCCCGGGAGCACCGGGCATGTGTGGTTTCGCCCCCTGCACCGGCCGAGGCCTAGCTGGCAAGCGGCAGAGACGGAGCAGGCCGACCACCAGCTGGCCCAGCCCAAGGGAGGTAAGGCACCCGCCGGAAAAGGGGGAAAAAATGGCGGACAGCCTTGCTTGGCGACCCCCGTGAAATGGTCGATCGACCCCAAATGGGGTCACGACCCATAGGTTGAGAACCGCTGCCCTAGAATCTGTGCCTGCTGAATTTGCATCCAAGCTGTGGATGGCAAGTTTCAGACATGGTTCTGCTTTGCTTTTTTGTCTTTAAATGGAAGTTGTACAGGATAACTTTCCATAATAAAGCATGTTCTCAGTTTATGTTCTTTGAAGAACTGGCGAATATAGGACTTTCTCCTGAAACATATCTGAACTAGGTATAAGATATGGCAAGTGGAAAATAAGAAAAAAAAAAAAAAAAAAAAGAGAGAGACTTCCGGTGGCAGGCGTCTTCGTCGGTCGCAGCTGTTTGCTGCCTCCCGCCTGTTTTGCGTAAAAGCCGGTTTGACAGCTAGCATCAGCTGTCAAACGGCTTGATACCTTTCCCCTGGGCATAAGGGGATAGGTGAGCTGCCCGGGGTAGGAGTTGAGTTCCCGAGTCGTCCTATATGGACGATGTAGGTGAGAA